TTTGCTGAACAACGGCGGACAGGAGAATTGTAATAACAAACAGCGCTATGTTTATTTTGTCGAGTTTAACGTGAATTCTGGAACAGAGCAAGTACACGGCGAAGTTATACGGTGAATTAACAAAACATTTGTCAGCATAATGAAATAGTTAAATGAGATACACGAATTAGTGGATGCTGGTAAATGAGAAACGCGAACATCAGCCTCACTAAATTGCAGAGGTGGTGTTCCCCATCCTGAAGACCGTTGATTGTTGGCCCACTTCTACGTTGAAGATACTAGGCCCGAACGTAACACCATGCATTCCTTGATTTCGGGTGCGAACATTGATGATAACGTTTCACGGGACTGTTAACGAATCTACTCTTGATGATCGTAGTTTAAATGTACTGATGAGGAAGTAATTTGTGGAAAATTAATTTTGTACAGAATCAGTTATTATGTAGGTGAAAGTAGAGTAAAGTTGGACGCGTTTCTTTGAATCGTAATAACAAGGTATCTGGGGTAAAAAGCTCATGAAACCTTTTTCGGAAGTCTTAAATATATCTTTGGATATAAGGAAATAAAAGATTTGTTTAATAAAAGTATTTAGTTACAGCGGAAAATACGATTTTCTAAAGGTATTGAAATATTCGTTTCGCAAAAATGGTAGGGTAAAATGGGACACTCGTGTAAAATCTTATAAAAATACAAAATCTTTATTTCCACTAAATCAAAATTGTTAACTGAATATATTTAATTCGTTGCCCGATATAAATAAACTATATGTTGGCTTAAGTGTCAAAAATATGTAAAATAAAATGTGTTAAGGAACGCAGAATCCAATACTGCAGTTATTTTATTCAATTTTCTAATCGAAGGTAAACTAAAGTGCTTTAAACATCTATGTAACATTAAAACTTTTTCACTGAATATCTTTCTAATGCTTTTAATCGAAAACTAACTCATGCACTGCTCTGCATTCGATCTCAAACTACATCGAGGACTTATTAGAAGAAAAACATTACTGTCCCACTTTATCTGACCTGTCCGTTTTACCTTATTTTCTCGTAATTCATTTGATGTTTGAGATTTGATTGAAATTAAAACATTTAATATTTCATATGACGATAGGTAATTGTGTAAAAAAACATTGTACTCTACTTTAAAATTCGGCACATTTTTGTACATTTAAATATTTAGAATTGTAGATTCAAAAAATGTTAGTGATATAGAGACGAAAAAAAATATGTTAGATTTAAAAGGTGAGTGTTATTTCAATATTTATATTTTCAGATAGTTTGCGAAAATGGAAAATATGAAAAATATCACTAAAGAAGTCGTAAAAATTGGATAAATGATCATTCACGAATAAATATGACATTACATTTTATAAAGAATTAAGCATTAGTTAGCAGATAACCTTATAAATAATCCTATAAGTAATCCTATAAATTAAAATTACACAAAAAGCTTTCCGATTTGTTTATATATCTGAAAATAATAAAAATGTTAATCAATTTTCAAATTCATATGACTAATTGCAAGGTTGAATTAGATTAAACGAAACAATGATGAATCATCCTCAAGTAATGTAAAATCATACAGTAATAAATCATTTGATGGAGCAAATGTAAAATAATCGATGATTGGTGGCGAATAGGGAATAGAATTATCAGTTTCATTGATATAAACAGTGCTACTTGGTTTTCAGACCCTCGAGATATTTGATTGTTGACCTACTTTTCTTTATAGCTGGACATGCGTGTGCTTGCGGATACGCATCTGTCAACTCACGTTATCTACGAACACGCAGTAGAACACTTTTCCTGTCTAAATTACATAATCAATTCATAATATTTAATTATAGTAAATTAGTAAATTCTCTTCTTACATTATATCATACATTCAGTTAAATTTCTCGTTACTAAAAATATGAAAAATTTACAAATCTTAAAATTTCCGTATTCTTTACTACAGTTTACTGCAGTTCATTTCAAGAAATTCCTTTCCATGCAATATTATAAACTAATAACGTCCTTTGACCAAAAAACTAATAAATATCACAAAACATACATTATATAATTATAAGATATTAATAAAAAATGTATTCGAAATAAAATTTCAGTAAACAATTAAATTGAACAAAAGTCCTTACGTCTTAAAAAAAAAATTTTGCACATTTTTACTACATTTCTAGTGAAGCCTTGCCATTAACAAAACAAATATTTCTTTAAATTTTTTATAAAGTAACCTGAAAAATCAAAGTTTCGAAATCTCTCGCAGAGGGGAGTATTTTTAGAGTAATTTTAAAGAAATCTAGAATTTATAACCGGGGGTGAACACCTAAGGGTATATTTGAAACATTACGCGATGCGAGGGGTAGTTTTATTACCGCTCCCTCTATATTCCGGTTGCTCGCTAAATTTCAAACGCAACACGCGTTTCAATTCCCCTACATATTACAGCGCCGTTAACGCTCCCCGCAGATCGAAAGCGAAAACATTTCCGTGGCATACCACCCTCGAGGGGCGTAGTAACGCGCACGTGAAATCAGTCGAGGGTGGTATATCATCGATTCGAGGGGAGTGGATCGTGTATGACCGAGGGAACGGATTATGGTTTTTACGAGGCACGAAAACGCGATAACTTGTCCTCCGCAGAAGACCGAGCGGAAAATGTATTTTCGATTGTGTGCCGGGGACTGAATTGTTTGTAAAATCCTGTTATGCGAGGAATGGTAAACTTTATTCGATGCTGCATCTCGAAACACGTGTTATTTGTTCACGAATATTTCCGGAAATTCTGATTTTCAGGGGTTCTCTCGGCACGTTTAAATTTTGGGAAAATTGGATTTGCGAATGGAAGGTGTAGTAAAAAATATTTTTATTATAGTCTGGATAGAAAATATTTTACTGTATCGTGTAGTTTTTCTTTTATAAATGAAATTATCATTATAATTTGAATGTACAAATAATTAAAATATTTGTATTATGGTTTTGAATTTGTCCACAAAGTAACATATATGAAACATTATCTTTATGAAAAATTAAAAAATATAGTTTAATACTTTGTTAATTGATTTCTTCCATTGATTTCTTTCAGTTCGTTTCGAAATGATCAAGAAAGTACTGTAGATAACAGAATCTTCTACATTAATTTAGATATGAAAAATTCGAAGAAGACGATATTTAAAATTAAAATTCTTTCACACTTTATCATGGTGAATTTTCCAACTACACAAATAGGGTGTACAAACAGTTTTCACGCAAATCAATTAATGATAAATATTGTTACATGCAATAATCATCGAACATAATATTACATTCTTACTTATAACGTTATTACAAATAATAATCTTTCTTAACCCCTTGACTTATAACAACATGTGAGACTCGTGGTGAAGATTTTAAACAGAATTTAATAAATATAAATGTTACTCAATGCTTGTGAATATTAATTAAGTATTATTCTTCTATTATCAATTATTATACTATAGAGCAAACACATACGTAGAATATACCTAACATTTTTCTCTGTTTTTCAATAAATTATTAATAACAAGGTAGTTGTATCAATCATAATTTAGAAGTAAATCGTAAGATAAGGGGTTAGGGAACATTTTAACTGTCTATTGTATTAAGTTAATACTTCGCGCGTTACGTTTTGTAATAATAGAGCGATACGAATTTGAACTGTTCCAGTTTAGTCAGTAGAAGGTATTCGAAAGCGACAGGTCGAGAAATTATAAAAATTTTATATTTTATAAAATATTGATAAAAAGATAAATGACACGATCTAATATTAACGAAAACGAGTAAAAATCCCATTTACGAAAACACGTCAACAAGATTGTTAAATAAAGGCCAGAAGGGTGAGCAGTTTGCAATGAAAAGATATAGACAATCATTGGAGTTGTCTCCAGGGATGGTTGTACCGTAACACGTCCACGCGGAATGCGCAGAGCTCGGCTTTATGGGTCTGTTCGGGATCGTGGCCGATGTTGTTCAAGCGACGGCAGAGATTATTGTTTTCACGCGGGACACATCGGCGATAACTTGCCTTTTTTTCGTTCGCGCCTGAAAACGAGGAGACAACATTCAAAAAACGATTATTCACCGGCCAGGGAAACTCACGCTGCACCAACCCCCGTCGCTCGTTCCTTTCTATAATATTGAACTGCGAATAGGTAGCACTTTTCTTTTGGGATCAAATTTTTTCGGAATACCATACGTCGAACATGGATTGAAGTTCCTATCGTAAGGCTTATGAAATTCGAAATATTTCGTGCTACGTGTAAATTTTAAATTAATTTTGGAGGCTTAAAATTGATTTGGTAATGTTTAAAGTTTAATTAAATACAAGGAGTAAGAAACCTGGATTTGATAGTGTTTGTATTTTCTGTGGAATATGGAAATTGTATTATTTAATTGCTCGTGATTTGAACAAATCATTTTTTAAAAATCATTCTTTACAATTATAATGGATAAAACAAATTGGTTCATTAATCTTTAATAAATGGAATAGACAGTATATGTAATTCTTGACAAGTCTCCAATTAGGTTCTAAAGGATTGGATCTTTGTGCCTTCTACAATAAACAGCAGTAGTTAATAAAGCGTTCTAAAAATATATTTATAACTTTAAAGGTACATATAAATATGCATAAGAAGATAAAAGAGGATCTTTTAAATTATTATAAAAATGTACATTTAAACAAGTTGAGAGAAAATTTATTAAATTATTATGGAAAGGTATATTTATACAAGTTTAAACGTAGATTTAAATATAAATATACTGAATTCTTTTAGAATACTTCCGCGTCCAACGATATTAAAATTGTCCCTTCGATGTATCCTGTCTTATAGTTTTAATTTTTCTCACGATCACTCCCATTGTACTGTGATATTTTCCGTCGAAACAGACGGGGCTTCTGATTACTGTATTATTTTCTTCATGAACATATTGAAGCATGGTTCAGTTCTTTACTTTTTTTTATTCCTTCTTTCTGTCCACGCATAGAAGCATGGAGTACGGTGCTGCCTACGGCGGGTGCTGGTGAATACTGGGAATGGGAATACAGTGAGTCACGCTAATTATTAAGTTAAAGGGTCCAAGGTAATGTAGCCGGTATAGGTAAACGTATGCCTACTGGATAGATTTTAGTGTTCTCGACAGAGCATTTATATTGTATTCCTTATGCACTTGGAACCAAATAATCTGATTAGTTCCTTAGTGAACCCTTATCAACCTATGCATCGTGTTTCACAATTTAGTGGCATAGTATATGATGTCTTGATACTACTTTATTCTATTCTAGTTACACTTTAATTAGTATGCTATGTTAGTTTAGAAAATTAGATAGTATTACCTATTAAAATTGTCGATACTAATATTTGAAGGAGTAATTGATTTAATGTTTAAACATGAAAAGTTTACTTTTTAATAACTTTCAACACTTCTAATTTTCTTTCAGTAATTTAACATTAATTAATACGGAAACAATTTTATCTTAATAATTTAATCCTTCTGTTTGGTAGTACTTATGAACAAACGTTAACCTATAGAACATTTAAATTTCGTACAATATTTTTGTTTACTTTTCTGCAAAACATAATTTCTGTTTTATTACATTTTACATTGTTTATTACCTAAAAATAACAGTTTTCAGAATTATATTGACGTATCTTTATACTTTCAACTTTGATTTATGTCAAATACAAGAAGACCGTATCAATTAAATCAAAATGTTGATTTACGAAATAATATATGCATCTCTATTTTTTGTTGACTATCTTTGAGTGTTTCTTGTTAAATTCGATTGTTATTTTCAATATGATTGACATAATAATCTGTTATCATGAATATTATGTTCAACGGTCTAAAAATGAAACTGGAATCTAAACCTAAGACATTACAAACTTGACACCAGCGGGAAGATTAATCAACGAGCTCCTTGCATTCGTTCTAATCTTATAATTAGTAACCATGAAGTGCAGCGTAGAGTAAGATAAATCTTACCTTGTTAGCGTGATTAATTGATCTTCACCGTAGACTACGCAGATCCTTCCCGATAAAGATTATAGTTAATTCCCCCAATTTATCGTAGCTCCTTCAGCATTCCATCACCATTCTATACTGGAAGACACTCAAAATTGTTTATTCTCTGTAGATGCAGTTTGTGTGATTAATGCCAACACTGTCCCGAGACAATAGAATAATTTATACAAATTAAAGCATCCATAGGTTTGAAATGTCTGATAGTCATATCTGTAGATTCATAATTAAATATTGCATTGCTTTAGTTTCAGACAAGGGTTTATCTTTATTTAGTGATCGAATATTCCATGTATAGTATGATATTTAATGTAATATTTCACTTTTATGTTACTGTCAAATTTAGTGTGGTAAATTAATTCCCAAACTGTGAATTTTGCATTTATAGAATGTACAAGTGTTCGATATGTATTCTTAGAATATTATAATAGAAACTTCATTTAAAAATTCACATAGAAACATTTTATGTTAAATAAAGGTTTATTCAGATAAATTATAGAAGATGAGAACAACGAATAAAATTTTATACTTGTAGAATGATATTCGGATACCAATGAATAAGTAGACTGTGGAAGAACAATTATTTATTTATTAAACTTTATTTATTATTAGTACTCATCAATAATTATCTACATCTTCGAATAAATTATCCGAATAAACAAGTAAAAATCCACAATAATTTCGATTTGCATGAATATTCACGATCCAAAAATGACATAATCAAATTGAAAGACGCAAATGGTAAGTAAATGCATAAAAGGGATAGTTAAAATCACTAATACCTATGCTTATTAAATTCAGTGTAAAATCATTACCACATCCCTAACTCGATATTATTAAGCAAGAAGTGAATATCAAAAATTCATTGAAGAGTTCCTCTAAAATATAACAAATGCTGAAATTGAAAAATGTTATTCTTTTATTATCCTATAATATACAATTTAAGCACAATTTTCCTCTTTATAAGTAGTCACCAGTAACACTTGATAATATTCACTTTCCCATAACGATATAACAGATTCAATGTAACATTAATACTAAAACTACCCAACAATTAGAGTGACTTGTTTCTAAGTTCTTATAAAAATTGGAACAATATATTTCTCAAGATTTGATGGGTCCCTTATTGCTGTATCTGTACAAATACACACATATATTTTATAACTTTTCGCATCAAAAGATCCTTGTCATAATTTAAATACTTGGAAACTAAACATTCTAAAATGGGTCAATTTGACCCATCTGATAGTGTTAGTGTTAAACAGTTTCTTTCTGCCTCCTAGAAGAATGGAAGATTTATAGTTACGGCTTTTTCTACAAACAATCCACGATCAATATAAACGAATAGCCAATTTTTTAAATTACGGGACAAAATATTTGTCCGGAAGGCAAACCCGCAGATTCCTTGCCCCGGACGAGTAATAGACGTTACGCTTTTGGAAGAGGTTCATTTAACAGGGAGTCACATGATACAGAAAAGCGATAGTACGAGAGAAACAATTTAAGGCACAAAGGTAGTCTGGCTGGTGCGCAATGGAATTTGCTGGAAATTCAAACGCGATGCGGGAGACCTGGCCTGCTCGTAATTTACTCCTTTGTGCTCAGATTTGTTGTCAATGAAGACGCTCTGTGCAAAAACGTGTAGCTCTGAGAATTTCGTTTCCCGCGTGGCAATTATACTCGTAATTTATTTAACGTCCGTTACACGCCGTGGGCATTCGCGCGATTCTTTTCTCGGAAATGTTTACACAGTAGAATTTTTCAAATTACACGAATGTCTAACGATTTACTTCATAAATTACGTATATAACGAGCGGGTGAAAAGGTCGAATGAAATTATTAATAAATGCTAATGAAGATAAGGAACGGAAAACGAATACGACTGTGGAATAGAAATTATCGGTTTTTGGAATTCCTACTGAATGTAAAATGAGATCAATTATTTGTGTGAGCGCATACGACGTTAACGTTTTACTTCGTAAGTTGACTGCGGAAAATTGTGCAAATTTACATTTCCTAAAATAAATTTTTAAAAAATTGTCAACTCAAGTTTTGTTTTCATCGTTGTCGGTTTTTGTGAATAAGAAAAAAGAGAATGATTATATTTGATTAAATTTATTTAGTAACTTCTGATTTAATTGAGTTACATAAACTATGAATATATATATACAGAAACTTGTGAAATACAAAATTTTATTAATATCTGTGTCGTTCTTTTGTTTAATGTTAGAATCATTTTAGTTGTACAATTCCGTTCTATAAGCTTTAAATTAATGTATATTTGATTATTTTTATATTTATGACAGCTTATTAAGCTCACCCTTTGTCATATAGAGTAGAGCGAAATGAATGTTTGTACATTTCAATCTTTGATAATTGAAAAATTAATCACAATTTTCTAAATATTACAATTTCCTATTTCACATACTACTAGATATGTAAATATAGTCTTGTACATTCCCTGAAGATTCATAAACAGTTTCTCAAAGTTCGTATATGTTATATTCTTCAGATATGTTTAAAAAATGTCTCGGACACAGAGTCATTTGTTGATAAAATACGTGAATCATCAATTAAGCTTAATTTGATTATCTTATATATTAACTTACAAAATGACATTTCTCTATAAATATCCTGAGCACATAACAAATTTCTAAACATTCTTCAAAGACTACCAAACAAATCCATAAAATTTAAACTTGATATATTTACCAGTTTCATCTAAACAAAAAACACTTAAATCTCTCATCATTTCTCTACACTCAAACAGCGAAGACCCTTAACCCCTTGGCGTATTATTCACATTCGCTATTAAGCTCGTGTAACATTTCAATATCGACAATTTCGAAAGGAACGCAAACAAGTTTTTCATTCCACTGTCAGTGCTCCACTTTGAAAATAATAAATTGGCAGCAGCAAAACTCGCCGTCACATAGGGAGGGGTGAATCAACTAAAATCCAACAAACTCACAAACATATTGACAAGAATGCTAATCCGCGTAGAAATCTACGGCTCACGGAGACTCATTGACAATCTATTCACGCGGACCCCAACAAAAAGTCATCTACGCAAACACGCACTTATTAAACAACCCAGAACACTTCATCGCGGCGAAATACGGAAAGGAAGAAAGAAGAGAAAGAAAAACCTAGAAAAATAGAGAAACACGCGGGAACAAAGAACGAAGAAAGAAGTATCTGTTCCGCAAACTATAAGCTCTCTCCGCTTAAAGTACACTTTGATCTTTCACCCGCTGTTTTCCCCGCGCGGCGAAGAAAGGTTGGAAAAAACCTCCGTTGGGGGTGGGGGGTGTGTGTTACCTTGGTCGCACGTTTTTCGCCGGCATGATAATAGCTTACGCGAGCGCGATACGCGAGGGACCGTGGAGAACGAGAAAAAGAACGAACGAGAAGAAAAAACAAAAAACCGCGAGAAACAAAAAGCGGGAAAAAGAAAAGGAGAAAATAGGAAGAAAGGCAAAAGGAGAAGGGGTTGTAATAGGTTCCTGGGTTGGATCTTTGGGAATAGTTGAAAACGTGGCTTTGGTAATCCCGCTGGTTCCCGTTGGCAGCGGAATGTGGTCCGCTGGAACTGGACTTTAATCTTTTGACTATCTCCCTAACAAATGTGTTATATAAGAAATATTAATAATATTGTGTAAATATTGCGTAACTTTATTGAGACATTGTTTTTGTGGATCTAGATTGTTCAGAGTTTTGGTAATTCAGAAACGCTGTGATTTGGATTTTTTTAATTTTGCATAAATAATTTGAAGAATTTCATATCGAATGTCCATTTATCTGGATTCTTAATCGAGCAATTAAATTGGATGATCGAGGTTCTATTGTATACGACATAAAGAAAATTCAGATGTTTCAAAAAAATTCTTTCTTGCTATTTTTCTGGCCCCTCCTTAATTACGAGGAACAATTTCAAATATATGCAAGTTTACTTGCAAAAACTGAAGGTGACTTGATAATTCTGGAAAAAAAGGTTTGTAAAAATGTTGGTGCAATCATCTTAA